CTCAATAAGGGGTGGCCGCCTAATAGAGGTTCGACTTAACAGCTTTTAGCATTTGCTTTAATCTTACACTTTGTTTTGTAAAAAAAAAGTCATGAAACAATACACCAACAAGCAGTGTGATATGCCATGTTTATTGTTCAGCTCACTTTCAATCTACAGAAATCTTCATTACTATGAAGAGGAAGGAGATTTTTTCTAAAAGCCAGCAAGGAAATGTTTCTCCAGCATGACATTTGCCCTGTAAAAATTCTCTGCTAGTAGTTAGAGACACCATGTCACCATACCAAAAGATTTCAAAGATGATCTCCAAGAAAGGTGATCACAAAATAGTTGTTATTGTAGTCATCAGTGGTTCGACAAACAAATGAGGATCAATACTGTTTTGTATAGTTTGTATGCCTTAAACAAAAAAATACTTATTTTCAGAATCAACTACGATAACAGCCATGGCTTTGCTTATTCTTGCTTGTAGTTGAAATGATTCCAAAACTGTCTCACTTGAAGTGAATAACAACTTAGTAAATAATTCAGTTAACAAATTATATCATGCAGAGTGATTTAAGATAGTCTTGTCATGCCTTGATTTTTACTGCAAAGCAACAGAGAAAGAGGAAACTGTTAGTACATTCCAGTACTGTAGGATTAGACACACTAAGCATTAATTAATTTTGTTGAATTGTGACTGAGGCCAATTCTGACCCTGATTCAGGACTAGAATTGTTTTGTTGTTGGTAAAATGCACCCACTGACAGTACTTCACTCTGCTGTGCTGCCAACATGAGGGTAACTTGAGAAAACAGCACTAGCACTATTATTGTTCAGTTTATTACTTGGATGAGTTGAGCACCTTAAATTGCACCTGGGGGCGAAAGGCATACGACAGACGGGAGTGGACGAACTTGTTGCTGCCTTTAGCACCGATGGGTGCAAAGGACAGTAAGTAAGTTATTACTTGACACGCACACTCTATACATGATGTAGCATACGAATTGCTTCTGCATTAAGCATGCCAAAAAAATTGATTAAGTGCATAGTAAGCTGTATTGTGAGAATGCCTCAAGATATAGCTCCGAAAATATTTGAAACAAGTGTCTCGCATGCTTCTTTTTGCTGAAGTTTTACTCATAGTCAATTAGAAAATGCTCAGCTTGATATTTCTTGTTGATTTTGAGTTACGGAGAGACAGCTTTTGTGTTTTACTGGATGTTCACGAAATGGCCATAAATTGTGTTTCCCGACATTTTATGGTTTTTTTGAGAACTTAAGTGATTGCTCTCACTATCCATGTTAGAATAATGTGTATTTGGTTTTGCCCAGTGCAGATATTTGCTATCAGTTAAAGGCTATTCACAACACTACGAAATATGCACCTTACTTAAGATGAAGCCACGGAGAGAAATAAAATTGCTTAGTTAAAATGAATATCTGAGTTTTTAGACTGATAGTTGTGGAACTTGATCCAGTGGATTCTGTTTTCACATGGCTTTTCTTGTTGTAGAAATACTAAACCAAAGATGGCTAATGAAATATGCATAAATTAGTGCCAAATGGCCATTTTGCAGGTGGTCCCCCTAACTTGAAGGGAACAAAATATTTTGACCTACTTTTTGCCACAATCATTCATTCACCAAACCCAACATTTGTGCCAAGTTTGAGTGAAATAGGTGACTTGAGCTGTATCACCTGCCTGGGTTATGCCTGTTTTTTCATGGATGCATTCTTTACAGGTTATTTCCCACATATCAGAACCTTGGGGCGTGAATTTGTCACTGACAAAACGAAGTGGATTATAATTGCTGCAACTACAAATGTTACTGACAAGAGGTGTACAAAGTGAGCAAAACATGAAATCTCACCGCCTTTTCTTCCTCAAGCCCATCTTTGAAGAACAACATATAGGGAGTCTGTCCATCGCTACGGTACCCCAAGAGTGCCAACATCCCCTCTGCTTTTTCTTCGTTATCAAAGTTAAAATCCTCATTCTGTCCATGATAGAACGTCCAATCGCCAAAGCTTTTCAGAATCTTCTCGATTGCCTTTGGCGCATTGGCTTTGAATTTGTCTACATCATCTGGCCTCTTCTCTTTCAGATACTTTACAAGAGCAGCTGTGTAGAGTTTGATGTACTTCTTGTAGCCTTTTTTATCCACACCATATTGTTCCATAAGCCTGTTTTGGACCACAATAGAACAACCAGAGACTGAAGACTCTTCAGCATCATCCTCCTCTGGAGCTTCAGCAGACTTGTTTCCACCAATCATCCTTTCATCCACTTTAGTGGATTCTGAGTAAAGCTGGGTAAGAAATGAAAACATTTTGGGAAAAATTATTGAAATAAATTTGCAATGAGGCAAGTGACCTACCGTTTCCTTTTTATGTAAATGGTATGCTTTTATATGTAAATGCTTTTATATGTAAATGCTGATCGCCAGTTAATACCAGTGATCCAGTGGTCACTGATTGGCCTTTCAGGTTAAATAAAGTCTTTTATTTTATTTATTTAACCACCCAGCCTAGGGCTGAGCAGCACAGTTCACATTTAGTTTTCATTTAGTTCTGATTCTCACTACACTAACACAAGACATTCAATGTGACTATTGAGGATGCGTCAGTCAGTCATTTGATCAATATAGATGTATTCCGTCTTACAACATAATCTGTATCCTTGCAAATTACAACTACCGGTTCTAAAAATTAGAACCTGTGGTATGCCAGATGTGAAAAATCACTTAAAACACCACCCTTTAGATGTGGCTAAAAAAATGTGTGGAAATGTTTTCCTCATGTAATGCAGTGCCCAGCAAGAGACCCCAAGGAAAAGGGTACAAAATCTGGGTAACGTAGAACATTTACAATAATTATCATTGTACATACCAGTTGTTATAACAAAAGCTTAAAAATAATAATAAAAAAGAGGATAAAACACAAACACCGACTAACCTAGAATGGCCTAAATCCCTGACAAAAGCCTTAGAAATAGCCCCTAACTTCCCATGACACCCTGCAAGCCTCTCCATCGTGCCGTCAGAATAATTATTTCTGACTAATTCATCCCTCAATTGTCAGAAATTAAATTTTTGTTTTGCTGATGACCAGAGCTGTGCTCCTAAGGGGTGGAACATTTGACTTCTGGGGGAAAGGGTGGGAGATCTTGAAAATATCCTACAAGCATACCAGCACCAAAACCCTTCATGTGCAAGATCACGGCTGGAAAAAAAATTCATGCGGGTTCATTAAACCCCAAAAAGCATGTTACACAGATAAAAAAAAAGTGTCATGCATAAACACGTCCCAAATAGACCAATTTTCGATATATTAAAATTCAGCCTAACACAATAGACCTCAGCACAAGGCTCTGGGGAATAAACCCCACAAACTCTGTAGTTATTCCCCAGAGCCTTGTACTGAGGTCTATTGTTTTAGGCTGAATTTTAATATACCGAAATCAGTCTATTCCTACTGCAGGAAAGAGTTAAAAAACTCTTAGACCAAATCCCCCCCTTTCCCCCGTCAAAGTCAAATGGTCTATCTCTAATCGGCCAACTCCTTCGATACACTTTGAATCAACGAAGGATATTAATTTGATCTTAGATTTCTATGATTTGATTTCTCTATTTTCTTCTTAGTTTTACAGTCAAACTCAGAAAACCGTGAACACCTAAAACATATCTGGAATGTTTATTGTGTTATAACCAATCACAAGTGAAATCTTCAACCACATAAAACAGATGTATTCCGTTGGTCACAAAACTATTTAGTTTTTGGTTATTGCCTTGTCCCAAGATATACCCTCAGCCGTTATTTATTACTGAGAGTCTATGTAAATAATTGCTATCCTTTTGTATCAAGAACCACAGCCAGTACTTAGTTTGAGGGATTTTGGAAAATAAGAATCCCGCCGACACATACAATTAAATATTTCAAATTTGGGTGGTTTCACTAACCATGGTATCATCTTTGATTAAACTAGTGACTCGATTTATTTTAGCAAATACAATTACAATCTCTTGGCTCCAGTGATTCGGTTATTTAAAGACCCTGTAAAAATTGACGATGATAAATTCAATAATAATATTGTTTGCTAATTTTGGAATTAGTTGTGACTAACAATTAACACCTCAATTTTCCACTGTTCCTTCCTAAATAAATTTGCATTTGATTAACACATAATTTATTACAAAAATATTATGCAAGACTTCTATTTTCATCAATATTACTTGCTAGTGAAATAATGAAGGCACTGATTTGGATCCTTCACGCTTGAGTGATGCAACAACTGACAGTTGCGTTGGCCCGGCACATTGCATAGGTTTGAGAAAATAGGTTTTTTTTTTGCATGTTAGAAATATCCCAAACCCTTTTCACTATTGTTAAAATAGCCTATAACAGCATTAATTTCTTGTATAACCGAAATAGAGAATTTATTGTGAGACCTTTTCAAACAAATCAGGGAAGTTGTTCCATAATCGATGGGAACTCATCCATTTTCTGTGGTTTGTGTGGTTGAAGATCTCACTTGTGACTGGTTTTAACCCAATAGACATTCCGCACATATTTTAGGTGTTCATGGTTTTCTAAGTTAGACTGTAAATTTGATCCACAAGATATATCAAACACTCCACACAGTGTTTCCTCACACCTCCAAACACCCTAAAGTTTGTCAAAAGTACTCTGCTGTATGTCATATTTTCAACTCTCTTCTCAGTGTTTAGAAATGTTGCGATACCCTGTCAGTTGTGATTGATATAAATCTCTATGTTTGGTTTGTTGTTCTTTTCTGTTTTACTTACATTTCCTTCCACTTCATAGAATATACCATCATCTGTTACTTTCATTTTGTAACTATCAGTGAACATTTCATCACCTGCAAATTCCAAAAGACAAGGGAAAACTCACTATGTAATACAGTAGGGCTCGTCTAGATTTGGGCTTTATTTCCAGAAAAAAGACACACCCCTGTGAAGATACAGGGGCCTGTAGGTCAGCAGGGACCTCAAAGACCCACACACTAAAGTTCCAAGCTTGTTTTTGTGAAGAAATCAATATTCATGAAAGTAGCTTCGTACTACACCACTGGATACGAAAACCAAAAACCCCTGCAGTCTGGAAATGTGATTTGTAGTAGTGTTAATGGATTGCTACATGGACTATGTTGTCGATGAGATAACCTAGAAATGATGGATGAGCCTCTAAATTATGCTATGAGCAAGCTACAACAAGCTATTGAAACATCACAATGTAGATGTGCTATATCTGGGTAACAGCACATGTTTTTATGTTTCTTTTGATGCTGACTTTTTCTGTTAGTGAAGCCTTTTTTCTGCAGGACATTCAATCCAACAGTCATGCTTCATTATTTTCATTCTATTTACATGCAAGCAGTCAATTTATAATTTTCATATCTTCATCAGAAAAGCAACCTTTATTTATGCAAATTCATCCTATTCAATATCTTCTACTGCTGTTATTTGATACCTTATAGCTTCCTTTCAAGGTGTAAAGCTTTTAATCATTGTTTCTAATAGTAGAGTCCTACTATGAAAGTCAAAAAGCCATGAGCACTTTGATTTGATTTTGACACGTCAATTGTGCAGCCACCAATCAGATGCAAGATAAAATCGCAAAGAAAGCAAACAAATTAATGGTGTCTTCATCAGTCACGCAAATATGCTTCTACCACTTCTCCTTCCAAAAATCATCGTTACCCTGTAGTTTTCAAGTTACAAAACCTTGTAACATGAAAACCTTGTAACCACACTTTGCAACCTTGGACATGATTTTTTGTGACAGGAACTCTTCATAAACCCCACCTAGAAACTGCCACATCAAAATGGCACGGAAAGTTGAGAGCCTGAAATTTGCATACTAAATATTTTCACATGTACAGCCATTTTTAGTGTTGCTCTTTTGGTTGGAAGAGCGGGCACGCAAGAAGGTCTGCTGCTGCAAATTTGAGACATCTTTTTTAAACACATACATGGCTGAATTCACTGTATTGAAGATGGACAAAATTAATATAACTGATAGCCTTTCTAAACATCCTTTCCAATAATTTTTCTCTGGCCTGTTGGTTTCGTCATTGGAAAGGACTTTTCTCACTTGCACAACATCATGTGCGATCAACGACAATACTTGCAGAGCAAATGTCTACTGAGTTCAATGTACTATTAAGTTGTTTTTCATTTAGTTCGGATACTCATGGATACAAATTTTTGGATGCCATTGAGAATGGTCTATCCAAACTTAATTTCAAGTCTTTCAAAGGAGGACAGACAAAAGCTGTGGAAGGCTATTTATCTGACCAATATGTGTTTGTTTACTCAATCACAGAATTAGGAGTCTGTGTTTTTGAGCTCCTTACATGCTCCGGATTGTTTGGATAAGGCTTGGATCTTTCGAAGAAGAACAGAGCCCATCGTTCAGTTTGTGTAATTGTTGCACTTTTAGTTGATTTATGAATGATCAAGTTTCTTCTCTGAAAATGAAAAGGCATCACAGCTAATTTGCATTGGCCGTTTTACTGGATTGGAAGTGCTAGCAGTCATGAGCAGTCATGGATGAATGGCTTTCAGGAACAGTGCTATAAATTCTTTGCCCTTCATTGCAACTTCTCCACTTTGTTTAATCAAAAGGGTCTTACCACATTAAAGCTCTCCCCTACTAACTGTGTCTTCTTTATAGTTAATCCTAATTCTTGTCGGCACAAGATGTACATAAGCTTATTGCATTTGTCAGGAATTAAACTCTCTGGTCGATCTGGACTACAACAAATCATTAAATTCGCAATTGGTTTAAACACGGTCTTTTCCGGAGACATTAATCAAAGGAACAGCTTTGGACGTTTGTCAATAATACTGACTACATCCATGCACACTGTAAAAAAACAATTTCCTTTGAGTTAAGGGTCAGTGCTTTCCACTTGTGATCGAAAAGTTTTGGTTGGAATCATGTCTGCTTTTGTGACAATCGTGCATGGAGCACATGAAAAATAAGAAATGTCAATCATGTTTTTCGTGCCAAAAATTTATGCTCCGATTCACATCCCTGGAAGTGAAACAAGTCGACCTTTCGCAACTTACGTCACTCGCGCCCGTGACTTCTTTGCTCGAAAAATGGCCCTCCAACTTTGTTCAAGGGAGGTGAATAAGTTCAGGATTAAGCAAAGGTCAACTTGTGGCAAGTCTACATAACCAACTGCATAGTCAAAGGATATTACGCTTAAGAAGCTGGCCTTGCCTTCAAATTTTGAGAAGTCATTAGAAAACGTGCATTAATTTGATTGTGTTTGTTGCTACCGCTTTCCAAACTTCAATATCTCCCTTCTGAATATTTTTCTCTCCCCTTGTACTCTAATTGGAAGCTCCTTTTTTACCAAATATATTGGTTTATTTACTGAAACCCCATAATCTATAAATTTCAATTTAAGAAAATTTAACATATGGTCAGTATCATGCTTTATTACATGTAGTTGTACATTGTTTACAAAATGAGAACATTCTACTTTATCTATTTTGCTCCTCACCCTTGCTTTTTTCAGATACTTTTCACTTTCCATGGAAATTGACCCTTTAGGTTTGGAGTTACATCAGGGTTCTTTATAATTTTTATTGCCAAATGTAGCAATGGATGAAGTTGAATACAGAGGAGCTGCCACGCTCTGTTTTGTAGCCTTTGGCTACAAGTCTGCATGTGTAGGTTTGAACCACACGTCATTTAAAGTCGCTTGAATTTCTAGTTGCTTGCACAAACACAACAGGTTAAATAAGTATGATGAAACTACAGGGTGACAGCCGGTGGAAGGAAAAACGATTGAAGCGTAGTTTCATGACTGATTGAGATATACGATTAATTTGCTTGCTGTCTTTGCGGTTTTGTCTTGCATCTGATTGTTGGCTACACAGTTACATATATACATACATAAATACATACATAATTTATTTGGTAAAGCAGGTTGGGGAACTGGCAAGACAATAAGTCCTGATGTGGACCTACACTATCTAAAATGATTAATTAATATACACTTAAATATTAAATGATAATGGATGAAAAAATAATGATAGCTGAAATAGATAAATATTCAAAAGTCAACATTTAAAATATTCAAAATATTCAAAATATTTAAAGTCGAAAGATTTGTTGGAAATGCTGCAGGAAGCTTTAGTAAAACTGATAGATTTTAGAATACTCTTATTTTCCCTAAGTTTTCTCTTGAAAGAGGTCAGGTTTGAACAGTTCTTGATGTCATCAGGAAGGAGGTTCCAGGATAGTGCAGCTCTACATGTATGTTTAAAGGAAGATCTTCCCACTTCTGTTCTTGGTCTATGAACCTCAACATTTAAGGACTTTCTAAAATTATAAGTAGTCTCAGGTTTCATTATTAAGTCATTTAGGGGTTCGCTACTACTTCCATGATAAATATTGCACGCGATAACTAAAAGTCTCTTAAAGTGCACCTAACTCCCCAATTTTTTTTTTTTGCCAAAACGAATCTACTTGTTATTTGAAATACTTCTGCAAAAATATTTTTGGATTCGGTTAAATTCTTGATTTTCTCTGCCCCGACGAAATCTCAAAAATAGCTCTAAAACACCGCCATTTTGTTTTGTGACCAAGTTTGAGGAGAATGGACCCAGTGGCTGTTGTGATGTCTACCCAGGAAGGTTGAATATCTTGCGTCTCATTTCCTTCAGGATGGTGCAGTACACATTCGAAAAGTGCTCAGAAATGCCTTCCAGAAGTGCTATCAGTTGTTGCAGCAGTATCCCAGATATAAAGAAAGATATACTGTACAATTTACTGGCGATGAGCGGTCAATGCTACAATAAAGACATAAAAGGTGGATTTTGTTGAACCGAAACAAGCGAACTGAGTCCGTGAGAACCATTGAAGAACTCTCACTGGAATTTGTTCCGCAGACTTTCAAACACTCTTTTCAAAATTTTCTGCTTA